GGCCAGTTTGTTGTTGTGGTTCACGACTAAGCACTTCTTTTTCTAAGTGTACATACGCAAGTATATGTGTATGTATGCATACTTGTATAACACACTTGACTTTGCTTGCTGTTTTTTTTTTTTTTTTTTTTTTTTTTTTGTGGCGTGCCAATAAAAAATTGTGCGTTCCATTCAAGTATTAAATGGCAGCTTGTAAATTTTATTGCATACTCTTGAGCGTCTCTCCTACATTTGTTATAGTTGCTGTTGTTGTTCTTGTTGTTGTTGTTGGTGCCATTTTATAGTTTTATCATACCTTTTGTTTTCATTTTATACGAGAATATAAGCGTCCAGCAGCGTTATTTATGACATTTTGGCAAAAGTTGCAAGGTGCAAGTTTATAATGTGGAATTTTTATTATGCTGGCATTCGAGGCAGGCACAGTTGAAAAAGGATGATAGCTGCTTATATAATGCATACGCACACTTAAACACACTCAAACACACACACACACACATACAACTGTTTATATGGCTGGACAGTTAGCGGCACAGTTCTCGCTAGACCCACTTGAGCAGCCCCTTGAGGGGCACAAATGATCATAAACTCATAGGCAGATTTATGCAACACACAACACACAACACGCGTGAATTACAGCCAAATGACATGCTCTCCAAATTCCGAGTGCGGTTGACAACTGACATATTTTCAAAAGTGGGCATAGACATGACAACAACAACAACAATAACAGCAGCGGCAGCAACAACAATGGGCTGCCAAGTCGTTGTCTCTGGCCTTGTGTCATAACCGAGGGCAGGCGACAGTGTCGGGAAAACAAATTGCTAAAAACACCCCGACAGCCACTTTTTGGCGCAATGTGAAAAGTTAAACGAAAGTGACAGGCAGGCAAGCACCCAGGCAGCCAGCCAGCCAGCCAGCCAGCCAGGCAGGCAAAGGGAGGCGAAGGCTGGCAATGCGCAGGCTCGTTGAACAGCACAGCCGAGGAGGGCTGGTACAAGGCGCAGGAGCGTCAGGAGGAGGGGAGGGGGAAGGGAGCTGACGCAGCGATTAAACGTGTCAGTTGAAAAGTTAAATGGCAGCCAGCGCGCGATGGCAAAATGAGCAGCCGCTAGCCGCCATGGTGGCGTAGTTAGACGCACACACACACACACACGCACACTCACACACACGCACACACACTACATGTTGCTCTGCTCGATGCTGGCCATATTGGTTTTTACGAGTGTGTGCCGCTGCTTTTATTTCAATGGAATTTCTCAGCCAACCAGCCCCGAAACTCTGGCATCCTGTCATCCTTTAAATACACGTACATGTGCGTGTGTGTGTGTGCGTGTTATCTGGCCCATGCCATCCATGTACGCACATTTGTTGTGTGCACCCAAAAACAAATTGTCATAAATAATTTTGACATGTTTTGCATTTTCAGCCATGTCTGAGGGGTGCTTTTAAAACAGACAGGGTCTGACCAATGGCAGGGCTATAAATGGCGTTATTAACCAATTTGCTGTTACAATCTTGTAGATTCCATATCAAGGCAATGTTGTTTCCAGGGAATATTTATTTGGAATAGAAAACTGAAGTTAGACGAAATACTTGTACCCTCAATTAGAGCAGAGATATACATTTTTCGTTGCGAGAATTTAAGTTTAATGTGGAAATACTTCCAAAAAGGCGAATATCTGCATTTCTGAAAAGTACACCCTTATAACAGAAATACACTTAAAAATATATGGTTCGATCTTAGATGTGTGTTTCTAAAACAACATTTAGTCGTCGAGTTGGGAAATACTGCCAAACAATCAAAGAACAAATTAAAGAATAACGCAAATTAATTCTCGCAGTTAAACAAACTTTTAAGGCTTATCTTGAACATTAAAGTAAAAGAATATCAAATTAAATAATAAAGTTTAACATGATGAGATGAAAAAAGCTGCCGAGAACCCATCCATAACATCTACGAGCTCGGATAATTTGAAATCTAAATTAATTGATTAGAGATATTAACTTTTGTTCGAAATAAGTTTAAGCATACAATGCTGTTTTGAGTTACTTAGAAGCATTCAATGACTGTTGCAGTAGGGGTTACAAATAGTTTTAGAAACGTGAGTATTTCCACTGATTTCCATATCAGTGGAACAGTGGATGGATCTACGATAATATTTATCAAATATCAAAATCGTGAAACGGTTGTATACAGTTCCTTTGGTATACAAAAACTTATATAAATATTTTATGGCTAGTTCTTATTTCATTGCCTTTAGATTACAAATATTAAGAAATAAATAGATTATTGATTTTAAAATGGAAGTAAATGATTGAGGTACTTTCAACATTAAAACATGAATTTAGTATTTATACATTTCAAAGAAAATGAAACATTTAAAGAAACTCTTTCAGCGATAATTCAAACTATAGTATTGATAGCTCAACGAACTAGCAGGAATCCCATAATGTGGGTTAGTTCCTTGAGTAGGCACTCGGTTCTAATCCATCATGACAGAAGCATGATTAAAAATTTTGGCAAAGTTATCATAAAATATCATAAGTGTCCCTACCTAGGACAGATCTTAAATAAAGCTAGAGAGAGAAAAATATTGTTGAAGGCAAAAAGTAAATAAACTGAGCGTCCGTTGACATAAGATAGTTCAAGTAACAAAGTATTTATTTGTTGTAACAGAGAAACTGAATTTAGTTCAGAACTATGACCTTGTATGGTCAACATTTCAACATATTGCGGAACAGTTTTCGCAGCTATAGTTTCTCAGCTATATTTGTTTTTCGTCTGTTTGTTACAGTGTTTTAGGCCTAAAGATTAAGGGCTTTACTAAAACATTTTTGCCATTGACTGAGGTGGTTTTCCCTTATTTAATGCGTCACTTGCTTGCTTGTTGGAACAAAAATGTTTGGTTTTTTTGTTATTGTTGCATTAATTGCCACTCTGCAGGCGCTTAGATCTTTTGCCGCAATGTCAATTCAGCGGCCCAACTGTTCGTACACGGCCGTATTCTGTTTAAATATGTATTCAAAAGTCTCGGTTTCATTTCATTTGTATTTATTTATTTCGGTTCGTTTTATTTGTTGTTGCTAAAACGGCGGCTGCTTTAAAAATTTGTCAGCCAAGTTAATAACAAGTTGCTGTGTATTGTTGTTGTTGTTGTTGTCGTTGGTTGTTCATGCAAAAGTTAAGTGGCAATTTATTTGTGGGTACAATTGTTTCATCCACAGCAGCACAAAACAACCACGACGGCAATATCAACAATACAAGACATTTCATTTAGTAGCAATTAATTTATAAAAACGGTAAATTTATTTTCACTTTGATTAATGGAAAAACAATTTGAAGCCACAGCCGCAGCAACGTGTGACGATTTTTTAAAATTCCGCTTTGTTTTTTATATATTATATGTATGTATGTTTGTATATTTTATTTTTCAACCGATTGGAAAATATGCAAAATGCTAGCCATTAATTAATGTACAAAATTGTTAATAGCGCCGACATAATTAACAATAAATCGAAATAATGTAAGAGCTAAAATGTATTTAAAGCTGTTGAAATAATTGTTAAAATTGACGCGAAATGCGCTCAAAACATTGAAAATCAATTTGAAATACACTTACGAACACACACATACACACTCAAATAAATTTTGTGCTGTACTTTATGAAACACTCTGAGACAAAGAAATACAGAGTGACATGCTTTGAATATTCATGAATGCTCGAAGAGCTGACCATAAATTGCCATTCAAAGCTAACCAAAATGTCGAGCGACTTAGCAATAACAACAACAAGATTCACTACAATAACAATTAGCATAAAATTTCAAAATTTATGCTTCGATTTTCTGAACAGTAACAACAAAGCATCTTTAAAATGTAAGTCGCTAGTGGCTGGCTATTGAATGCCCTATGCACCATTAAAGTGGATAAGAGGGATGGAACGAAGCCTGAATTATACATAATTGTAAACTCCATATTTGTCTAAACTCAAATAAGCAATAAATAAATTTTGTTTACTGTAGCTGCAATGCTTTCCAAAATACAGGCGTTCAGACAGTCGAACGATTGAACAGGTAGAGAAATAAAAATGTCCTTGTTGCAGAGGTTGGAAAAAAGAAATTTAGTTTGTTTAGAATTTCGGCACAATTACAACAAATCACCTTTGAATACTATGACTATTGAATGCCCTATGTACTAATAAAATGAATAAGGGGGTGAACCAGGCCATGACAAGTTGTAAGCTCAATATTTGTCTAAACTGAAAGAATATGTATACTATATATACAATTTTTGTTGGCTGTAGCTCCAATGCTTTTCAAAATACCGACGTTCAGACAGTCGAACGATTGAACAGATAGACAGACAGACATATAAGCCACAGAAAAACTGCATTTGCTTGTTACATATGTTGGGGAAAAAGAAATCATTGTTTTTTTTTATTTTGTCAACAATAAATTTTATAAATCGTAAAGCATACATGCTTGGGGAGTTGTGGAATTGCTTTCTCAATAAATATTTTAGATAAATTTTTGATAAGCCGATTCTATTGTGATATAAAGTGCGTTAAATATGAACAGCTGAACAACACTACAAGCCCTTTTACCCTTTAGTTATAGAGTATAGGCTGGAGATTTGCCAACATCTATCGACTGATTTTCGTATCGGAATTTTAATGGACATAATTTTAATGTTTCATCCGAAAATAAAACAGAAGCCGCAGCGACATTTAGTAGATTTATTGAGCGATTTAAATTGAAAGCCCAACAAAAGCTCTTGACCGCAAGTAGAAAATCCGGTTGGTGGGCTACGTAAACATACGTACGTAAAACGTATAGCATCAAAGCGTCGTAGCTGCTATCTATCAGATAACGATTTTTGGGTGAAAAATTTTCATAAATATGCATTTCGTTTCGCAGAACACATTTAAAACGCTGTTGCTGGCAATTTGTTAACCCATATATTATAAGTGTGTGTTTCTTTTTTTTTGTATCTCTTTCAGACTGAGCTGCGTTCCTGCGCAGCGTGCGGCGAACCAATCTCAGATCGATTTTTTCTCGAGGTTGGCGGCTGCTCGTGGCACGCCCACTGCCTGCGATGTTGCATGTGCATGTGCCCGCTGGATCGTCAACAGTCCTGCTTCATCAGAGAGCGGCAAGTCTATTGCAAGGCCGACTACAGCAAGTGAGTAATTGAAACTTAATGTTTTTCAAAGGGAAATAAAATGGCATCCAAACAACAAGAGTATAGCCTCAATAAACCGGACAAATCGGGTACAGCCAATGCATTGCAAAATCAGGAGAAAAAAACATAATTTCAAACAACAACTGTTTTCAGTGATTATTATTACGTTTCTTCAACAACATAAACTTAAGGAAATTCATTTGCGCTTTTAGCTAAATAAATTGTGTTATATACTATAAAAAATATGCACTTAAAACATGTATATATTTTTAATTCTCATCCTGATTTTTCTCGCTCGCAAAATTCATTCTGTGAGCTTATATCTGGAAATATTTTATTCTTATTCTTTTTCTTAAATAAATTTATTTTACATTTTCGAAATAATACTTCAAAAAGTATTTCAAATATTCCAGCATTTTCAGCGAGTGACATTAGTACGTTGTTATGTTCGATTTTGTAGATTTTTCTATATTTTCATAAATACGGTAAACGAAACGGGAAGATTCGGAAATAAATGCAATGAAAGCGATCAAATATTTTGAAATCTTCCTGACTTTAACAATTATTATATAGTCTTTAGTGTAAGAAAATTGAATGTTCGAATCAGAACTGCTCGAGAAGTGTTCGAGGCATAATTAATTCCAAAAAATTTCTCGTCTAGCTTAAAGTTGAAATTAAACTTTTTTTTCAAAAACCATTCAAGATTATTTTGTAGATAATGTTCAGAAATTTGTGAAGCTAACCATAGTTTTATTTCAATTGTATTCCTATATGTTCATATAGTATGTGTCTCTATTTCCACTATCAGTGTCTGCTTTACAATCGGTTTTAACCTGACATTATCGTAATTGACTGAAGGGCTTTTTGAATCGTGCGAAAAAGCAGTTTATTTTAAAATACAAGAAATTGCTAGCAGCATTTGGGTAAACACTCTTGGGGGAATTATATAAAAGTTATCTTTATAATCAATGTTAAATTATTATACAATCTACTTTGAAATATTTTGTTTGGTATTTGTAATTCTGTTATTTTTATTACAAGTATTTAATGTGGCATCACATATCAACAGCCCTGTACATATGCACTAATTAGTAACTGCTCAGCAATTTTATTGGTTTTTGATGGCCTGTTTTTGACGCGCATTTGTGTGTGTTTTTGTTTTCTCAAGCATTGATTATTATTTGCCTCTATGCATAAATTTGAAATAATATTATGCCATAACTGGTAGCTATACCTACTTATAATATAAAGCGGCATGTAAATTACTTTTAACATTTTATTGGAATGAACAAAACAAGTTACTGGGCTGTAAGCCGCTCGCAAATCTAAAATACAAAGTTCGACCTTAAAGTATTAAACGGAACTAATTTCTCTATATTTTTCAAATCAATGTTAGATGGAATAGAGTACTTAGTAGGTTTTCAAAATTTCATTTCCGTCACTCTTGCATTTCTTGTTCCGATCTGCTCGCTGTTTTAAACAGTCCTATAAATCTGTTTCAATCTTTATGGAAGCAAATACAGTTGAGATTGCTTTCAAAGGAAAGTGCTGACTTGGGTGTGCAGTTCCATTAGTTATGCCTAGCTTTTCCCTTTGCCTGGTTAGTTCGCTCTACTTTTCATTCTTTGGCTGCATTTTGCTGCTTAATGTTTTCTTTAGGTTTCAAAGCATTTGGGTTTGGTCCATACATTTCTCCCACTTCCTCCATCTGGTTGTGGTTGTGCACGTGCGTGTGTGTGTGTGTACAAGTGTTTCATAAATATTTTCCCACACTACTTTCCCGCTCAAACAGACTGCTCGACGCCTCGGGCCTTGATCGTACTCGTATAAAAAGTAAGGTTAATTGTAACAATTCGACAACGAGGCAGCTTAATCCGTAAGGCAAACACAGTCGTAACGGTCAAAATCGAGAAAAACTTGAGCGTAGAGTGGAAATGCATAGATGTGACAGTGCAGGCTGCCTCTAAATATGCAAGTTGCAAGCAAAGTATCTTAAAGATACTCGTACATAAGTAAGTATGAGTATGAGGCGACCCAAAGCGAACTGGCAATAGCGGAAAACAGTGTCGACGGCATCGAAATGAAAATAAACAAACAAACGCGCCGTGAGATGCTGTAAAAATATTTATTTTTCAAGTTAAGAATTTTAAGTGTGCATTGGGCGCTGCAATGGAGACATCACAGCGTCATCATCCGTCGAATCGATGTGTCGTTGTCGTCGTCGTCGTCATCGTCATCTCCATCCACGTCGAGTCCACTTGGGCGCACATTGTTGTATGTAGTTGGTGTTGTAAAAATAAGCTTAAAAGCTAACAATAGGCCAAGCTTACACAAACACAGCCGCCAAAAGTTGCCAACTCATTTGGAAAAACGCAGCGAGCAGATTGCAACAACTTCCGCTGCAGCGGGCAAAACGCGCCCAAGTCGCGCCCAAGCCGCACTCAAATCGCGCATTGTCTTATATGGAGAAATGAACAAGGACTGGACTACAGTAGATCCTGGATATTTTGAATAAAATGCTCAGCAATGCTCAGTATACTATAAAGTTAATTGAGGCGTTCTTATTCAGGAATGTTAACTAATGCTTGGGTCGGACAAACAAAAAATTTGCACAAAAACCTCTTGTGATTCACATTAAGAAAGTCTTGAAATTTATGCTCAAACTTGGGTCGGACATGCAAATAATTTGCAGACCATTTTGCCAAGTTCCGCAGCTTAAAATAATTACTTCACCCAAAAGCCACTGATAGACTTCCACTAACAATGGTTTGCTGCTGCGAAAACCGATTTCGGAGATTTACTTTTTAAAGCCTTTTTGTACTAAATCCAAATTTCTATGCAGAGATTTTGGTTCTCAAAGAAATCACTTCTTAGTGACATACAAACTGTTACAATCCGGATTGTTCTTCGTTCTGTAACTTGTTAGGAAATATAGCGGATTCTAATCTAATTTTCAATCAAAAACATTTCAACTGTTTCTAGTGAAATCGAAAAATCTAAATCATGTAATCATAATATTTCCCCGATTTTTGTTTTATGATTTCGATTGGCATTTTTACTTATCCGAATCATAAATCACAGCGGTCAGCAGGTGAAATCAGTAATGATCGATCACAAATCGCAAATCGCTACGACCTGCTGAACGCGACCAATGGTTTGCGGATATATGGAGAGGATTTAGAATCTCAAAGAACATGCGAAATGTTTCAATTCGGTTTAGTCTACTATAGTGTTCTATAACTTGTTAATCTAGCTCATTCTTATCTAATTTTCGATCGATTGTTTCTCCAACAATTGAACATTTTGGGACTGAAAACTGAAACTACTATTTTTTCGGAATTCGGGTTTGGGTTTTGGGCTGGGGTTTTTCCAACCTCTGTAAGGCTAAAGAGTGTAGCTTCTAAATGGCCAACATTGGCAATTCTTGCTGTACATTAAATTTTGTTGTAATTAATTTTGTATTTACTTCTCATTGCAGAAATTTTGGCGCCAAGTGCTCGAAATGCTGTCGCGGCATCTCCGCCTCCGATTGGGTGCGACGTGCCCGCGATTTGGTATTTCATTTGGCTTGCTTCGCCTGCGATCAGTGCGGGCGCCAGCTATCCACCGGCGAACAGTTTGCGCTCATGGATGACCGTGTGCTCTGCAAGGCTCATTATCTCGAAACGGTCGAGGGTGGCACCACATCAAGTGACGGTAAGCGTATGCATAAACCGAAAACATACACACACTCATAAAAAACAGCAGTGGCTGTGGCAACAACAACAACAACTACAACAAGCATGATACGCATGAGACGCACGTTCAGAACGTCGCCAATTTTGAACGCTTCAATTGAACGCCTTAGCGCCGGACACAGTAGCACCATCAATATTCGTATTCGTGTGCACCAACCTGGTCCACTTGGCTGCCAATGTCGTTTGAATGACGTCGCTGACATCTCAAATACTATTGTATACAAAACACAGATTCTAGTATTTTAGACACGTCTCTGTCTCTGTTGCCGTCGTCGTCGCCAGCCAGCAGCCAGCAGACGCCAACTGCCAGTAACCGCTTGACGAAATCGTGTCATAACTGAGGCATAAAAAGTCTGGCCAAAACATAAACTACATGCACAGAGGGCTCGAGAGTCGACGGCGGCTTGACGCCAGTTGACAGGCAATGCGACGTGCTCAGAGCTGCTGTGACAAGCCTGTGAAGACCAGAAACGGTCCAGAAATGCTCGCTTGTTGTTGCTGTTGTTGCTGCTGTCGTGCTGCGCTGTTTACAGCCTCACATTTTTAAGCCGCAGAACGCATGTGACTGCACATAAGTTTTGTCATGGCTTTCAGTTTGTGCCATAGCCGTAGTAGACCACCAACATTATTATTTCTCTCGTGTTTTTTTTTTACACAGAATATACGCGTAATAAAAGACTTGGGGGACCGGCCAGCCTATAAACACTTTTTGACATTTTCAATTTGGTCTACTGTCAAAATGCTTTTAGCCTTAAGAGCAGCAGAATGTGAGGCAGGCATGAAGAAACTACAGTGAGATATTCTTATAGTCAACATAATTAGAACCTATAGTTGTGAACAGGCAATCGATTCGAAATCAAAAGATATCGTAAAGAAAACCCTGAATTATGTTAAATCGAAAATATCGTTGCCTTTTACACTACATAATTGTTCTTGGAAAGTATTAGCTTCTTTAATATAGGTTTCATCACAATATATTTTGTCAGTTTTACTTTGGAAATGCCTAATCGAAACTAAAAAGAAAACTAATCGAACTAATCCGATAGACGATAAGTTTTTTGGGGTTTCTTTAAGTTCCTGTTGGAAATTCTCCCAATGCTGTCGTCAGCTATTTCATATGATTATTAAAAATTAATTGACAATTAAAAATAAGTACTTATCAAGAAAGTTAATAAAAAACATTGGTTTATTAAAAAGAAATAAAGTAAAGTGCCAATGACTCATAATTCTTGTCTTTTCGATGCTACCTTAGGCATATACAATATTTGTTTACATTTAAAAAGGCCGCAACTTAAGAGGAATTTTTTATTGTTCCCTTTCTATCTCAGGAATATAGAACATTGAGTTTAAATTAACATAAGCAACTTGGGGTCACCACAAGTTTAGGCATTATTATGTACTTGAAAGCTAATTAGTTATTCAAGCAATCAACATTCATATCTCTATTCCCAAAAGTAGTTAAGAAAGTGTTAGATTTACGTGATTGCCAACAAAATTAGACGAATTAATACAACTTGACGACTAAAGAAGCTTAAATAAATTGAACATTTTAATAAACAAATATTGTAAATATTGTGGGTTGGTTCACATAGCCATGGCTTGACTGTACTTTACACAATCCTAGAAATCTCTGACACACTCTACCACTGCTCGTATAATTTACAGATGGCTGTGATGGTGATGGTTATCACAAGAGTAAAACGAAACGCGTGCGCACCACCTTCACCGAGGAGCAACTACAAGTGCTGCAGGCCAACTTCCAGATTGACAGTAATCCGGATGGTCAGGATTTGGAGCGCATTGCATCGGTGACGGGTCTGAGCAAGCGCGTAACGCAAGTTTGGTTTCAGAATTCGCGTGCGCGCCAGAAAAAACACATACATGCTGGTAAGAATAAAAGTAAGTAGTGGATTAGTAGATGCAGCATGCCCGTAACTGCGTAGAATACCACTAGCCAAGTTGTTGTAGTCTTAACATAGGTCTAGTATAAGCTTTATTTGAGGCACTTTGTGACAAAAGATATTGGCAGTAGTGGCAGTCAAGTTGTTTAACTTGTCCAACTCACTGTTTGTCTCTGTCTGTTGGTGTCTACTTTACACAAAGAATTCAATGTCCCTGTCATTGTTGCTAATCAAAAAATTTATTCTTTGTTCTTTTCAAAACAACCGATTTCTGATTGCAGTACGCGAACCGGAAGGAAGCTCATTTGCCCGTCATATTAACCTGCAGTTAACGTATTCATTTCAGAATAACGCACAAAATCCCATGCACATGAATGGCAATAAAGCGGGTCTTTACCCAGCGCACGGTGAGTTCCTAACCGAGTTTCTATGATCTAACAGATTTTTAGAAATGTGTTTGCAATTGTAAATATATAAACCAATTCCGATTTGTTGTATGGCATGTTTCCCTTTTCTTTTACAAATACATCCTACAATAACCCAAATTTGTATCGGACATGAATATATATGTTTATTTTTGAATAAAATAGAAAAAATATTATAAGTTTTCCATTTTTTGTGTGAGGCGGCAGACATTCAAACTTGAAGTTTTTTAGCTTTTGGTACTCATTTTCACAATTATTTTACAAAAACGTATTACAATACTTCAAATTGAAGAACATTTCATAAGAATATATAACAATATCAGTAAGATGCAGAAAATATAGAAGGACAAACATTGAAACTTTTATGTTCTTCCACTTTTTGTATTCATTTAAATTTATCATACATTTATATTTTATTTTATTTATTTATTTTAAATAGTTCAACTTCAAATTTTAATATTTATTTATGATTTGATTTTCAGCAATATATATAAAAATGTTCGCATATTACATTACATGTACATAAATATTCAATTTAAGCAAATACGTAAGAAATTTTAATTTTTTGTATAAATTTGCAAAAAATATAGCAGGACAAATAGTCATAGTCTTAGATTTTCAATTTAAGTTGATATATTGACAATTTCTTCACAAATGCACTATGCATGGATTATATTCGAAGCATTGTACTTGAAAATATTTGAAAAATGTTAGAAAATACAGCAAATATTGCAGGACAGATATTCAAACATTTCGATTTTTTTGTTGTCTTCTTTCAGAATCCTCTATGGATGAGTTGTCACAGGACTCGAGTGTGCATTGTATGCCCAGTGAGGTGTGACTAGAGCAGCCGCCTGCACGCACACATCGCTAGATGCTGCGGCATGGCTATATAGACGGCTGATTTGAGATCAGCTGTCGACTGCTGGACCGCATCTGAAAAGTGGACGCACACTGCTTGTCGTCTAAAGCATAATGCAAACAGCAGAACGTCCTCTCCTAGTCAAAATTTTATGCAAAGCGCCGCAACGGAAGGGGCCAAGAAAACGAATGGCCGCGCTCAAATGAAATGCTATAACTAAACAAATAATGAATACTTATGTATACACCAATATATGCGTAAAAGAAGCAACATATAGACAACACACAAGACCACAGTTTGCAGACCCAGTACATGCTTTGAGCATTTTTGATGCAACCTCAAAACCAGCTAACAATCTCTATAGGCATATCTATCCACCTGTCTCTCGAAAAACATTCCTCAACACATACTACTTACAATACATTCCTGCGCAGCCCTAATAGGCCTAAGCCTATGCCTAAGTTTAAGCTTAGTTCAGGTAGTTAATTTAATTTAAATGAAATTTAATTTAGTTTAATTGTTAAGTGTTTTTTGCTCTCTACATGTGAATTCACGTATTTATATATGTATATATACATATGTATATAGTATATGTATGTATGTATGTGTCTGTCGTTTAATTTAGTTGTTAAGTAGCTCATAAAAATGAAATGCCTAAAATGCTTGCCAAGGCTTTTTGTAAATGACTTTTTTCCCCATGAGCTCAGCACAATGTTGTTATTGTTTATTTTCTTGTTTTTTAAATGTATAAACAAATCTAAGCTAAATTAAATAAATTGATAAAAAACAAAATGCAAAAAAAAGAACAAAAAAGAAATGGCCAGAGAAATGCAAAAATTTGTATATAAACTAAAACAGAAAGCAGCCAAAATTGATAAGCAAATGCAAAATGCAAGTAAAAATTTAGTTAACACAAATTATAGAAACAAAAACACAAAAAATGAAAACAAATACAATTAACAAACTGAAGCGAAATCAATTAAAAGACAACTTTTTCAAAACATCACCTTCGTTTTATATGGCTTGGTTATACGAAAATAATGGGGATTTTTTTTACAACTTATAGGGATGGCTTGAATGAATGAGTTGGAAATCGAGAAGTCTCCTAGAGACCTTACCACTTCTAAGATTTTCTGTTTATACTATTTTCCTAAAAATATATATATGTATAGTTCAGGTATATATTTGCAGTTGATGGCTTTTTGTTGAGGTTCTGTTTTTACAGTACTGTTGGGAAAAGTATATCCCATCTTTTAAGATATTTTAACTTAAAAAACAAGAACTCATCTAAAGCAATACGTTTCCACATAATGGATAAAAAGTTCCAACTTGACGTTTTAAGGTTTCGGGCGTCAAAAAAAAAGAAGGAATTTAAAGTAATCTCTTTCGTTTATAGGAAATGTTCAGTTGGAACAAAGAAGAAGTTTGCCTCTTCAAATCTCACAAATTTCAAAAATAAAAGAATTTTTAAGCCTGTACTGCTTGAAACCATCAATTAAAAGAAATGCAAACAAATGTTTCCGGTTGATTTGAAAGTTAGCCGCGAACCTCTATGCCGAATTAGTCAAATTTCTGAATATGAGTTTGAAGAGTGCGTACCACTTGAAATGAATATCCGGCCATCAAGTTTAAAACTTCATCACCTGTGCAGAGATCGAGCAGTGTAGCAGACAGTGTGACGGCGACGAAGACAACGACCACAAAGGGTGATGATGTTGTTCGTGTTGATGATGTTGATGATGACGACCTAGAGCTGGGTGGAAAACGATCCTCCATTGAGGCACTCGTCTTGCAAGTCATGTGGCAGAGTTCTAGTGCACTCGAGTCGAACGTTAAGTGCAGCATGCTGCAGGTATTTATGCCACATATTAATTGAATTATAAGCCTAGATTATGCAAAGATTTCCTGCCGTGTGACAGCTGGCGGTCAACAGTAACACTAACAACAACGACAGCAATTTGTGGAGAAGAAACCCTCCGATCAGCATGATGAACGTGTAGATTTGTGAAGAGAGCAGCCGTAGAGCAGCAGCAGCTTGCGTGACTTGGCAATTGGCAGCAGCTCGAGGAGGAGCAGCAGGAGGCGGAGGAGGGGGAGAAGGAGTAGGGGTAGGACATTTGGTTATTGGAAAATTGTGAACGGAGAGTGCACTTGTTGTTGGTGGCATTGTGTTGAAGTTGAAGTTGTGGCTGAAACCCCTTTCTCGCTTACACGTATTTATACAAAGTTACGAAAATATCAACAAATCGTCATCATTAATAATGATCATGCAAGGCAGCAGGCAGCAGACCCAAGTCTCTGGTCTCCGGTCGCCGGTCGCCGGTCTCTGGTATCAGTTTTGGTGGTTCATTTGTCAAATTTCATCGAGGCAAGAGATCGATGGCTATCTGGCTTTGGGATCGTTCGTTGTTGTTGCTGCTGATGCTATTTGAGCAAACATTCAACACTTGAAGCGAGATTTTGTTGTTGTGGTGCGATCTACAACTCAATTCCAGCCACACGGCAATGAAATTATGAATGATGTGATACTTTTGCCATTGAGATGTTTTCACAGTCGCAGGCCCCTGACATGCCCCAACCATCCAAGCAACCATCCAAGCAACCATCCAAACAACCGTCCAACCAACCAACAAACCAACCAGTCAGCCAGCGAGATAGTCAGCCAAGCAGCCAGCTACCCAGATATACTCGTACATACTGGTATATACCTACATAAATATGTATGTATGTACGTATGTATTCATATCTTATTTGCTATATCTACATCTTATTCGTATCTTAAGAGAAAGAGAGACATGTTGCTGGCTGCTTGGCTGGTTTATTGCCATGGCTTGTCTTATGCTGCAATATCTTTAGCTTTTTAGCTTTTCAGCTGCTGTTGTTGTTCTTGCTGTTATTCTTATTGTTTTTGTTGTTATTGCTCTTGTGTTATTTCTGCTGGAAATGAGCGATCGCGTGCAATAATTTGTAGAGCTGTTTGAGGAACGTGGTATAGTGGTGAGAAAGGAGTCGGAGTTACTGGCACCAAATGCCTACCGACTGCACTCAGAAAAATCCATCTGGAATTGTCGCTGAAGACGATTAGGATCTCATTACTCGTTTGAAATAAAGGATGTTCTTCTCGAACCAAAAATATGTCCATAGTGGACTACGAACGGTTTTAAAATACAATGCTAGCATCTATACGAATCGCTTCTTTTTTTATGTTTTATAAAAACTCGTAATGTTTTGAACACAAATCGCTTTAAGATAGTGAAAATCCATATAGTTCTATCAGAAATCTATCATGATTTACGAATGCGAATCCAATATTCGCAAATTTTATTTATTTATTTATTTATTTCATCGACAAACAATGCAGTCGATGTACATACAAAAAAATCAATACAATAGAGAACTTAGACTAAATAAAACTGAAGAAATAAAAAAACCTATAAAAATGACAAAAATATCTAACAACGAATCCGACACGGTGGGGGAATTTTATTTGCCAAACTGAACAAATTAAAATTAAAATACTTAAATAATAAAAGATAAAATATAATTAAAAATTAAAGGTGAAGAATCACTGACCCGTTTAATATTTTTTTTTATAAATGGAGATAAATGAATAATACTACAAACATGATAATAATTTATTATAGTTTGATGGTAGATATTGAAAAACAGTTATTACCTTCCAGAAGAATAATTTTAAATTTATATCAAGATGGAATGTTCAAGTCGAGCAAGCTCTAAATTGCCTTTTAGCCCCTCTTTAGATACACGGTGTTAAAACGATTTATATGAAGCATCAGGTTCAGATTGTGAACATTTTTGTGCTCATATCCGTGAGCAAATGTAAGAGCAATGTTTCAATATCCTTTGAAATTTTCATGGATTGCAAGCATTGGCAATGGCTAGTTATAATTATTTAATATGATGACTTTTTGAGATAATACTTATATATACAAGTAGTACCAATTAGGTATTACTTGTATATAATATTGGTATTCCTCCTGAAAACTCAGGCTTGGCTGTCTTCTTTGCATCTTTTGCCGTTTTTGTGTTTTTTAGTCTATTGTCAGTTCTTAGGTTTCGCAAAATCTTGACCACATTTTACATTTTACTGTGTTTTAGGGACATTGCTGGCCGTATTGACTGATAAAAATCCGTCCATATATCAGAGGTTTTAATAACTTATAAATATCTTGATAACAGCTTTTCTTTAACCCATAATAATGTTTTTCTATTATCTAGAAAGTATAATTTTTCCTATATAGCATATACTTTTTTGGGGTTTCATGAAATTCAAATATATTCGTAAAATATTAAAACATTCCATCCTATCCAAAAGAATTTGTTCAGTGTGTGCCGCTCACTTCCTGCTCATATGTTGCATGCACATCATTTTTCAAAATCATTCAAACACTTGTTAAATATTTTCTTAACCGATTGATGACGATTGTGACTCGCCTGGTCGTTCGGTTTAGCCATCATAATCATAATCATCGTCATCGCCATCGTACTCTGCCTTGGCTGGCCCCCCCTCCCCCTCTCCGGGTCGTACAACAAAAATTATTTGTGTTTATCAATAGAGTTTTACGTTCGTGGGCATAATGGAAAAAAGGCGTTGAATGCAATAACAACAACGGCAACAGCAACAACAACAACAACAACAAGAAGAGGAACAACGTATAGGGCACGGCATTGACTTATTACGATTTGTTGGCCTCTTCAAGCGGCCGACTGGCAAAATTAATTGATATCTGTGGTATGCGCATTGTTAGCAGCTCGACCAACGCCACGTTGTCTGCATTTGTGGATTTGGGATTGAGGCCGGGCAGTTCCAGACCCAAGCCCAGAGCCTTAGCCTGAACCTGAGTTGCTGCTGACGTGCAGCCACTTTGGCATTGATGATCGATTACAGAATGTGTCGGCTGTTGTTGTTGCTGGTGTGGTGTGGTGTGGTGGCACGAACCAATGCGGCCTATTGAAAAACGAGGTCAAGTGTGAGGA